CGTGTGAACTTTGCCTTTGCTGCTTTTCTTTCTTGCAGGGCTTTTGCTACTTCAGCCATTACTTTCTCTTTCAGCTTTTGTTGACAATTGATTTCGAATGTAATGATGAGCGTACGATGCGGTGATTCAAACCTTTTTATTGTATGGTTGACAATATATTGGTACGGTTCGAAATCAATTGATCCTTCCGTACGTCTTCACCATTTAGCAACGAACTAGTTAATTAGTCGTAGTGACGTAACGCTTAATGTGCTTGATTACACTTTACAATTATCGATAATAGTTATTTAGCGATACAGTAAGAACAATGATGTTTTTACCACATTTTGACGTCCTCTGTGATCTATTACTGAACAGACGCACGGCAACTTGGAATCTATTTGTTTTATATAATAAAGAATTAAAATATAAGGAAAAAAGTTTTAATGATGACGTCATCTATACGTCTGTCCTCCATAAGATCATAAGTGAGAACCAATCAGAATGCGTGCATAACTGAGCTTATTATTTTATGATAGATAGAATTTCATAAGAAAGTTACATGAGCGTTAAGCTTCATCAGGCATGCGCGGAATTATTCTAATTTCTTGTCTCGCTATATCAGCTATTTTGGTTACTTTTTGCCGTGACCAGTGAGAAATGTATTTGATTCTTTTAAACTTAGGGTGTGCTTATCTTTAAGGAGGCTCGAAAGAGTTTTTCGTTGTTGCAGTGTTTGTGAAACGATGGAAGGTTACAAAGATGTATATTTAATGAGGCGGGCAAACTATATGTCTCTTTGCAACTCTATTGCTGGGCTATACTTTGAGGGTACTTGTGACGTCACATCAGTTACCATGGCAACGCACAAGGTCCACAAAAACGTCCACTAAATTTTAGTTTTTGTAAATTATCTGAAAAACTAATTCGGTGACCAACCATTTTTTTTTTTCTTCGTTGGAAAGTTCCCTAAATTCTTTAACTTTCCAGACAGTATGGAAAAAATTTATCTAGTAGAATTAAATATATTTAAAGAAAATGCGATTTATGACTTACAAAAAATTCTACTGGATAATTTTTCCCGAAACTTTTATATTTGAAGTGCCATCGTAAATGGTGCGTGCATGCAAAAAATCAAGATAGGTCACCGAACAAAATTTCGAGCTGGAAACAAATGTATTTCGCAGATTTCATCTCGGGTTCGCGCAATTTCAAGCAACATTTAACTTCCAGTGTGCTGATTTTGATTCATTCAGCTGACGCGTGCATCTTAGATATGGCGTGTGTAGATTGCGCGCGCGCGTGCATCTAAAAACCCTTTCCAGCCTCCTTAACAAAGTTAAGGTGGGGTTTGTACCAGAATATTATACATAGTATACATAATTTTTCCAAGTTTTCAGTTCTGTTGAAACCTGTACCTTGATTTGGTAATAAAAACAAAGACACAACTCTCGCACACCGAATACTATCTAGGCCGTCAACTAACGCGACGAAATTGTTCTGTTTTGGCCATTGGCAGATGATATCGCGTTGCTTGGTTGTGTTGGTGATCAGTCACATAGAGCTTGTCTCTGCTCACTTGATTCATCAAAAACGAAGGGAAAGAATGAAATAAGGATATCCGCAGCAAAGATAGGTGAGTATCTGGGTATCTTCATTTAAAGATTTTCACGCCAAAGGGGATGGAATACAGTTGAAACAAGTTAAGAGGAACTGGAGGGTATTTTTCGACAAAATTCTTCGAATTATGTTGAGGATGACATTTATCGAAGAAAAATTTCTCAGGTAATTGCCCAAAAAAATGTGTTTCTTCACAAAAATCTCTAAATCACGTGAAGGGTAATTGAAAATCGTTGGTTTTTTTACTGTTAAGGCAATTGTTTTAACGCTAGAGTACAAGACTACTGACACTTGAAAGTACGAAGCTCAATTCCGCCGTTTGCCTTAAGAGTCATACTTAACCAGTCTATGAGGTAGTCATTTTTCAAAAATTATTTTCGTTCACAGAATGTGTAGTGAAATACAGTTTGCAAAGCCCGGCTAAAAAGTGAGATTGTTTAGAATTTGCTGCTATCGTAATCATTTTACCAATTACACTTGTTCACTTTCCGTTTTATGCCAAAATTCAACTGTTGCGTAAGTACCACTGAAGGCGATGAAGAGATGTTCCACTTCTTCCGTTTGGCTTTAAGCGGTTTCATGACATACATTAGGTTAATTGGAAGTGGGTATCCTCAAAAGTAAAGATTAAACTACATTTCGAATGAAATATAGATAAATCTTTCATTTTGTTGGCTCCGAAACAGTCCGACAAGTTCACGGCCAATCTTAGTGGAGACCAAATCCGGGTATTTATCCACCTGCTATCCTTTGCTCGGCTTGTTTACCTACTAAGATAATTTGGTATTCTTGTTCTAATTCGTCGGCTCTGACGAAGGGCTAAAGCTCGAAACGTCAGCGTTGAAACTCTTAACGGTGGCCAAATTTACGTTATCAACTCAGTTGATAATATCAGATTACGTTTTTATATTCTTCCACCGACGCAGCACCACAGTTTCCTTAGAAACTTACCCCCTTTATTACTAACCAACTGTTCAGTAGCAGCCAATCGGCACCATATTAGCTGCTTTATAAAAATGCTTTCACTCACTTTGGATCCTTTTTCCTCCCATTTCCATTATCACAACATGCGATTATCATTTCGAGTACAAGTAGATTTTCTAGGAAAAACTGTGTTAAAACCGTTTGCAGTATTACGTAGGCCAACTGTCGCTGGATAGGAACTCGAAGTTCTAGACTGAACCTATCAAGTAAGTTTTCTCCTTTCCTCAAGAAGAGGAAATTTCGGTCCAAACAAACCTAAAGGAAATAGCTAATTCTTTAAGACAGGATGAGACATGTTTCCAGAAGTTAGACGATATTTTGCAAGAAACAAGCAAATGCTCAATGGATTTCGCCGCCTCCTAACAGAGGAGGCATTTTTTATTGGAACTCTCTAGTCTTTGAATCCAGCGAGGAACGAAATGGTAGATAGTATTACCATATAATCTAACCTAACAATCCCACAAACTCAACTACTTTATTAAATAACAAGTAATATTGTTAACAAGGAGCGACTCGTAAAGGCTGAGTACAGTACTTATTCTCGATAAACTTATTTAAGCCCGCTACAGTCTATATCTTAGCTACCACTAACCCAAACTCACAGTTCTCTCCGTCTCTTGATATTAACAATCTTCCACTGTTGCTGTCTCTCATGGTATAGGTTTCTAAACAGTCGATCACTCCCTACAGCAACAACTACTACTTATACTTCTACTACTAAGTCCTTATATACATTCACAAAGTGTTCTGGAACATTCCAGAAGCTTACAAAAGAACTTTTTTAGTAGTATTAAGTAATAACTGCGTGGCTTGATGAAATGTTCTTGAAAGTTCTATGGTACGCATGTCAGCATAACTACGCAGTCTGGAGATTTCTAGAAGCTTTTATTTCCAACAAAATTACTCGTTACAATAGTAAACTTTGTCCCATTCCAAATTTGCATCCGGGTATTTATCTGTTAGTATCCCTTTTGCACTAGGTGAAATTTGCTTCTTACCCAGAAAATGTCATAGATTTGTTTGGAAGAGGAACCAAGTTTCCGCTGCCCATTTCAATTTTGGGGGTGTTTAGAATATCATCAGAGGGTAGATAATGCTATCCAACAGATAAAATTGTTATCCAACAGATACATGTAGGTGTTTACAAAAAGGTGGTGGACTATCCACTGGAAAGAGATTAGTCCAGTGAATAGTATTATCCGCCTGATCAACCGAGACCACAAAAGAAGAATGCATTGATTCTGATTGATGCAAAAGCATTGCTTTGGCTGTCTATGGGTTGGACTTCCTCTCACTTCCTTCTCTGCTACTTGCATGTCCAATATTTGGTATGCCAGTCCATCATCAAGCAACACTGGAAAGAGCAGTCGAAACTGGAGGAAGCTAATATAGCTGGAGTAACATTTACTATTTCTTTTTGTTGATTTTCTGATGAATCATCTCCCTGAGGTTTGAAAAGATTTTGTTTTGTCTTGGATTGTTCCTCATAATTAAACATAGCCAATGCTCACCTGTTAAACAAGAAGTAAAAGGGTTACAAGGCAGTGAATGGCTGGAATCAAGAAAAATACCAACTGATGCTATGGACACAAAACAACCTACAGGCACATTCACTCACTTTTCATCTGCACTGTAAATCTGCTTCTCTTTTCTCAAACGTACAGCTTCCATGTGACGATGCCTAAAAGAAGAGACAAATAATAAGTCATTCAACTTTGTCCAAGTAACTGATGATATAATTTTAAAACCCAGTTAGATAGGCAACAGAGTAACAAGCTTCCATGTTTTTTGTCTTGTTTTGTTTTGTTTTTTTCACAGTTACAATGGAATTAAACACTGTTCGTTCTGAGTGGTATTCCCTAGAAAGATCCACCAGCGTAAGTCTCCCATAAGCTTCATCTTTATACACTGTGTTGCTGAAACTACATCCGGTGTGAGGAAAGTAAGTAGGAAAGGTGTTGCCAAAACCATTGTTTGATCGTTAACTCGTACATATATATGTATGTGCTGTTTGTTATGTAAACTTTTGGTGTTTCTTGTTTCAAATTTTTCAGTAATCCGTAACACCAAGCAAGTAGTTTGACTGAACTCAAGACATAGGAAGAACTTGTTTACTGCAATATTCATTCTCAATAAATTTAAGGCCTAACAGGAACTTATCAAGTAACAGCAGAAGCTGACCAGCAAATTGACCAGTCTGAAAAGGATAATTTGAAAGAAACTATTGCAAACAAATCAGCAGCAATTTAAAGAAGACAATAAACTTTCATGTACAGAGAGAAAACACAAATAGTTAGCAGTGACATGATTAGCAAAAACCCATGCACAATGCCATTGTTCCAGAGTTCCTTTGGATAAAGTGGAGTGTGTTACTTTTAGCACCAATTCTTTGGTCCAAAACTAATTGTAACAACATTTTTAATAAGATAACTTTTGCCCAAAGGCTTTAAAATACTCTTACTGAATGATTTAGATATGCTGTCACACCTGCTTCCACTTATCACATAACCAGAAGATTCAAATGTAGCAATCTCATCATTTGTGTGCTTGATGTCACCACAGCAAGGGATTTGCTTGCTTTCCTTCACACATTGTGCCATTGCTTCACCCTCACCAGGTAGCAGAGCTCCTCCAAAGCTTTTGAAAAAGGACAGAAATCAATCAACACAAATGAACAGAAGATAATTGTCATGGTAACTCAGATGCCTCATATTCATTTTGGTCTGTGTGCAATTGTGGAATGAACACATGTCAATATAGTAATGTTCTGTAGGTTTGATTGAAGACCCTCTCAGGACTGCAAAAATAGGTAGATGGTAACTGGAGGAGGGTTTGGGGATCTAGTGTCCCAACTTGAACAGTAATGTTTGAGAGTCAAATTTTTGGACATTAGTTTTTAATCTTGGACACTAGTGTACAAATATGGGCAGTAACTTCTGGCTTTGGACACTAGTGTTTGATTTTAAACACTGGTGTTCCATTTGAAACTCTAGTGTTTGAGGTTTCTTAAACTGGCCCATTATGATACAAGTACTCACCAGTGGAAACAAACACAAATTGGCTGCCTTCTGAAAACTTTTTGAACATTTATCTCTCTGGGGTCCACTATTCTTGCTGATTGCATAACAGCAAACAAGTTACTGAGTAAAGGGGGTAAGATGTGAAAAAAATGGTGGTGCTACATTGGTGGGAGAGTATAACAAGGTAATTTAGCATTATCAACTGAGTTGGTAATGTAAATCGGCCACTGTAAAGAGTTTGAAAGCTGACTTTTCGAGTGTTAGTCCTTGTTCTGTCCGTCCCTATTAATCAGTTACTGAATAAACTGGTCCAGTCTCATATCACATCATAATCTACCAGTACTTTCAGTTTAATTACCACAAATGAAAATAAAATTGTTTTGTACAGGACAAGATTCATAAGTTCATGATATCAGTTGCACTATCTGTGATTGTGATGATATTTGTACTTACTCTGTAATGTCTTGATTTCCTGTGTCTTGCTTCAGTGAAAGAGGCCCAGTGACACCATTGCCTCCCTCTTTATCTTTGTCTATAATGAAAAGAAGACAAATTAATTGAATTTTCCTTAACCCTTTACACCCTATCATCAGTATGTATATTCTCCAAACTGTCTCCAAACTCCCTATTCTTTATAAGATGCTGACAAGGAGAATTTGTTTAACAATCTTTGGTTGGTGATCATTTCCTTTTTTCTTGTGACCTCGATGTTTGATTCAGGGGTGACATTGTAAGGTACAGTACAGCTCAGAGGTGCTTGGTCCAAAATGCATGTGAAAAGCGCATTTCAAAAAGCGCACAAAGGCGTGCAACTTTTCAAAATGCACTAAAAAAAACATGTGCAAAAAAAGCTCATTAGTATGTACAACAGTCAAAAGGTCTAGTTTTGCAATACAAACACATGTAGCTCAAGACTCTACAGTCAATAGTGAATGTACTGTATAGAGTGACACAAGTGATTTAACCCTCTCCACCCTAGCCCCAGTATGAGTATCCTCCATATTGTTCTCTATACATTTCCTCAGGTGCTGACAAGGAGATTGTGTTCAACAATCAAGAGCTTCTTTAGTTGGTGATCATTTACTCTGGTGACCTTTAAATGTTGGATTCAGGGGTGATATTGTAGGAGAAATTAGATGCTAGTCACTCTTAAGTGTCAGGGGTTAATATCATTTGATCCAGTTCTTAGCATGTGATGAAGGGCTTGTGCATACCATTGCAATGTATTAGGGTGAGTGAATCTTCTCTCTTCACAGTGCTAACCTTTTCTTTTTATGGCAAGTTTTTCTTGATTTCTTTTTAGTAGATTTCTTGTGTTTCTTTTTCTTTTTCTCCTCCTCATTGCTGTCTTCTTCACTTTCACTTTCACCTACACAGTAATATTTCCAAAATGTTAACAATTCTTCATAAACATGCACACCAGCCTACAGAAATAATTATTATTGTATGTACAGCATCCAGCAATCAAAGAGCATTCCTTATGAGGTCCACGATGGCTTTATTCATCATTTATTAGTGAATAGACTTAACCCTTTAACTCCCAAAAGTGATTAGCATGTAACTTCTCCCTAAAATATCCAAACATTAACCTGCACACAGGCAATAAGAATACTCAAACTAATCAGGTGGAAGTTGTCATCTTCATCCAACACCAAATTTTGGTAACTAATTTACAAGGAGATGTGTTGCAGCTGGAGGAGAGAATTAACAATCAGATCTTGGGACTTAAAGGGTTAAGGGCTTCCACTAGCCAGGTTGTGGGTAAATCTGCTAATAGCTCAAATTGACCGCACTGGATGTCATGTGTTGCCCCTTAACTTAAAATCTTTCAATCTAATTCAGTAAATGTTATTTCACCCTTTACACCCTAACATCAGTATACACATTCTCCATACTCTCTCTCTATACATTTCCTAAGGTGCTAACAAGGAGAGTTTGTCTGACAATCATGAGGTTCTTTGTTTGTTGATCATTTTTGTTATTCTTTTTACCTCAATGTCTAATTCAGGGGTGATAATCTATGGAGAAATGTATGCTGGTCACTCTTAGGAGCCAAAGGGTTACACTGCAATTGTGAAAGGGAATCATAGAAAAAAAATTATCTCTGGTTCTTTTTACATATTCCTTTTCATCCCCTAAATAATACTTTTCTTTACTCTCATCACTTGTCTGCTTGATATTGTATTGATATTTTACTTGGAGAAATTCTGGAGTTGAATGATTAAACACTATTTTAACAGGATGTTGAGAGTAGTTTTTTTTCTTTTTGAACAAAGACACCCTGTTTATTATAAGAAAAAGCAGTGTTTTTATATTGCTTTGTCTTTTCATTACCATCATGGAGATAATTACACATCCCTACCCCCTAGAGGAGACTAGCTGGTTCTATAGTTGCAAGTGTGGGGTCAATGTCAGTATCTGAGCAACAGGGCACCTATCCCTCCCCTAACTCAACAAAAGTCAACTGATATCAAGTAATAAACATTATAGTACCTAAACTTGACTTGTTCTCCATACACAGTCTCTTAAAGATTTGCAACAAGCAGAACTCCACTTTGTTCCCAATTAAACAAAATAGCTGGTTATGGAATCAAATGTTGAGCACGAGCTTACAGTACTAATTCTTCCTTTTGTCTAAATTTCAGGCTGCTTAAAAGTTGCATAAAGAAGTTGTAAGATTGTTTGTTGAGTTGGATTCCAGTCTTGTAAAATTGAAGGATAAAAATGGAAGATTGCCTTCTGACCTGGTATCCTTGAAAGAACTTGCCTTGTTAAATATGCTTTAGGTATAAGAAACAAAATTGTACTGGTACCCAACTTGTTCTTAATTAGGTGTAGTCCATTCTTAAGATATGGAACTGCTTTTTGATGTTGGTTTTCATGAAGTTTCTTTCCATTTTTTAAGGATTATAGACTACAAGCAGTCCCTGCTTTTCAGCAAAGTCAGTTGTGCAAGTAAAAAAAGGAATTTTGTGATGCGCGGCACAGAGCTGTGGGAGTGACATGCACAAAAGTAGGACTTTTTTTGGTCGTCTTTCTTCCAGAGTTCCACTGTGCATGCTAAAATCATATTTTTCCAATCATTTTTCTTGGCCTGTGCAATGGACTTTGCCAAAACGGAGAGATTGCATATTGTCTATCATGATGAGTGTAACCATGGATTGTATGCGCTTTTGACGGTGGTTTGTAAGAGAATGTTTTGTAAGGGCTTTATACCTGTATATGCTTTCATGATACTGTGACCACCAAACAGGATGTGGTTGTCCTGGACAAGAAGAGTACTTAAAGATAAATTTTTGCCAATGAAGGTTTGAACCTGTCCTGAATAGAGCAAATGTTGACCAGTTTTATAAAATTATATTTTTAATAACGTGAAAATATTAGAACTTTGTGTGCACTGCTTAAATAGTCCGTAGAGCAGGCGTAAATTATTTTGGCGAGTCAGTGCTCGGTATTTTCTTGGCGAAAATTATTACGCAAGCTGCCATTTTTTTAATTTTCATATACCAGCAAAAGGCTAGGGAGAGAGTGAAACTTGTACCAAGGGGGTGAGGGACAATCAAAAGAGCGGAGAGGGGAGGGGATGGGGCGATAGAAATTACTTCTTCTCACCTTTCCCCTTCCCACCCCCTTAACCTTCGACTCCAGCTCTAAATCAAACTTGGTCGGTTACATAAATCTTGCCCTAAATAGAAGCCTGCATTGCAGGCCATTGGCATGATGGATCGTTTAACACTTTATGGTTGTTACTATAAGCTGGTCCGGTTCAGACTCCAACAATTCAGGATTTTCCTGGATAAAAAAATGGTTCTTGTTTGAAGATATTATCCGTAGATATTCCCACGATCTAAAATGGTGGTTAACGGAAAGTTCAAACATTCCTTTTGCTTATATTTGCTGCCACCTTTTACATATTTTAGGGGGGGGGGCTGTTGTTTAAGCGTCGGTAAAATGTCGCGACCGTAGGGTCTTGTTTTTTCTCGTCTTAGCAGAAGTTTTTCTAAACCCTTTGACCCCAAAGAGTGACCAGCATCTAATTTCTCCCTACTATATCACCTTGAATCAAACATTAAGGTCATGAGAGTAAAGGAAATTATCACCAACAAAAACGTACTTTTTCACTGCGAGGAAGAGTTCGTGTAACAGTGGTTTTCTTTTTTTATCTTTACGACAATTATATCTCTATTTTACCAATTTTACTGACCTCGTGCCAGTTGGTTCGATGGACTTCGAATGACTGATCCCTTTCTTTGGATAAAATAATGTGAAAGGGTCAATTGCCCTGATTAGTAGCCAAAGAAAACCAACCAATCAAACTCTTCATCTCAAAAGGACACACTTCCATGAAAATCCAGCTGGAAAAAAAGAAATAATCTAATGGCCAGCACTGGACTCATGTGCTAAACCTAACAGTTCGCGTAAACAGTTATTGGGTTCACTGGTGATATTTCTTCATCTCTTCAACGTTGAACTCTCAAACTTGTCTATTTGCCAATTTTACCGAGCCTCTTGCTTCAATGGATTTTGGCTAACTGATCCATTTCGGCCGTTGCAACGATTAGAAGTCAAAGAAGAGCAACTGATTAGACTCTTCATCTAAAAAAAGAAAACACTTCCAAGAAAATGTACAGCTGAGGATGGAAAAAAAGCTAGGATCCTGTGGCCAGCATTAGAGTTATGTACTAAACCCAGCAAGGACAGGATTTAATGGTGAAAATGTCTTTAACGACATCTTCATCGGAAAGAAGGTTCAATTAACTAAAAGGAGATCCAAATGTCGGAAAATAGGTTTACAAAACCTGTTTCGGCATTACCCATGTTGTCTTCCAAATGCACGCTTGACAATTTAACTTTGCATGTGACGACAACGGAGGCAGTTCATCTTTTACGTGATTGTACAATGTCATTGAGCAAGTAAATATGAATCGGGCACAAATTTTAAAACGAATTAATGAAAAAAAAAAGTTAAAATATCAAAATCAGGATTTGACCTAAATGGATGCAAAGAATCAGATTAAACTTTAGGCCCCTGCCTAAAGGCCTATCATAAACTCCTCGAAGATTGTGTGACAATCGAATCAATTTACAAAATCCTGCATTATGCATAACCTTGGAGGCAGAAGCGGAAGTCGGGAAACGCGTACCTTTATTCTTGATAATAATTGATTTTTGTTAGACTTAGTTATCTTTTTACCGGCCCTTTGAAAAGCCATGCCAGTTGTCGAATACCTAAACTTATTGCATCATTGCAAACGTTTATTGGCTTGGAAGACAAGATTCCAGACGTTGATTCGTTGCTCGCCAAACTGGAGGAGAGGAGTCTTCTTGGAATTGATCGTCTTGATGTATGGAAGGGTCTCCTAAAAGGGATAAGAAAATGGATCTTCTTCGAATGTAGGACGAATTTGAAATAGCCGAAATATATCGACACTTCAGAATCTGAATAAATACAAGGAATCTTACGTTAAGTTGTAGTTAACACGTCCGGGATTGTGTTACTATCAAATAAATTTGCATAACTGTGCACTATGCGTGAGCTGTAGCAACAACAGGAATCCGACTTGTTACCTCCGGCTACTATTTTCGTGCTCATTGATTTTCTCCCAACTAAGTCCGTTCCAACCTACCTACAGTTATGTCTTTTTTCGAGTACTCTAATTTGTTGCATCAGATTAGCGAGGAAGTTGATTGGGAAACGAAACGCGGACGATTAATGTTTATCATCAACAGATCGCGCTCTGGTGACTACGGAGACGATATCACAAACGTTATTTCGTTGCTTACCAAGATGGAGGAAAGGAATCTCTTAGGGATTGATCGTCTTAATGTATTGAAGGATCTGTTAAAAGGAATAAAAAGATGCGATCTTGGAAGGAAAGTGGAAGAATTCGAAAATAGGAGAAACGACTACAAACAGTTTCTGGAGAAGATAAGTCGTGCACTCGACGAATCCAATGAACTGCAACGACTTATTTCAATCTGCAGAAGACAAAATCTCATAGGTCATGAAAGAGAAGGACACATCACAAACGTCAATGCATTGTTCACAGAGTTAGAAAATCAGAACAATCTGGGAATAGGAAATCTCAGTATCCTGAAAACCTTGGCAAATGAAGTCGAAAAACCAGATTTGTGCAAACTTGTGGATGACTTCGATGAGAAGAGAAAACAAGAAGACGATGCTGAGAGGAAAACGAAAGAGTGGGAGGACTACAAACTAAAAGCACAAGGTAAGGGATAGTTTCCAACTGAATTCCTTTTTTATCGAAACAGTTTTGAAGTTCCTCAACCAAACGTTTCGCGCTTCCCTTGCGAAATGGCTTTTGGAATTCCTAGGAATTCCTAGGATTTTCCTAGGAATTCCTAGGAATTTATTCCTAGGAATTCCTAGGAATTCCTAGGAATTCCTAGGAATAAAGGTGTGAATTTTCACGGTAAATTCGGACTGGGAATTCCTAGGAATTCCTAGGAATTCCCAACCATAACAACTCTGGTTCTAAAAACCTAGAAATTCCTAGAAATTCCCAGAAATTCCCAGAAATTCCCAGAAATTCCAAGTTTATAGCCAACAGGACTTGGAATTCCTAGGAATTCCTAGGAATTCCTCGGAATTCCAACTCAGAGAACCAATGACTTTCCCTGAAAAGCTGTAAATCTAAAAAATTTCTAGGAATTTCTGGGAATTTCTGGGAATTTCTGGGAATTTTTGGGAATTTTTGGGAATTTTTGGGAATGTTTAAGAATTACTGGGAATTTTAAGCAAAAATTTGAGGCTAATGATATAAAATAAATACTTTAAATTAAAAAAAACCCAGCTAAAATTCAAGTATTCAATGAAATTTATTTAGAAGCTTAATTAAGGCTTACATGTAAAATATTTTTGATTAAATAACATCAATGTGTGGTAATATTAGGATGGAATTTGATTTATTTTTCTTTTCTTGAAAACTTCATACGGATTAATCCTCAATTACAGCTATTCATATAAAATAGTTCTAATCAATCATTAAATTTGGTTTGACACAAATTGTGAATAAAATCTGTTGATTCTTTTCCATAAAATACAATATCTTAAGTTATATTTGAAAACCAAGCACTCTTGGGAGTGAAGGGGCTAATTACAGACAAATAAAATTGATTTTTTGATTAAAATCTTGTTGTAACTGTAACAATAAATTAGAATGAAGTTATCCTAAACTGCAAACTTAGCTGCTGTTTGTACTGTTTGTATTTTTTTCCTGGGCTCACAATGAGTTGGCCTTGAATGAGGTTGTCAACAAGAACCTTGACCATTTTGTATCTGGATTCCTTGACATCTGAATTTGAAAAAAAATAATATATTAAAATATGTATATTTAAAGCTCAGACCAGGCTTTTAAGATGGCTATGAGGAAAAGGGCATTCATTGGATTCTCAAATTGAGAAATCTCTGTTATATTGAGTGACTTTTATATTGGAGTTAGTACATCTCTCTCATGGATTTTACTAAAAAAGGGCTGAATACATTATTTTGTTTTTACCCAGGAGGGCTTCTTTATGTACTAAGGTTTGTTTAATAACAGTTCCTATTATGAATCTTGAATGTTCCCAAACGTGACTAGAGGAGTCTTGAAACCTTACTGATAGGTTTATTTCATTGTAAAGCATAAGCTTAAGAAACTGCGGCATGCAAGTGACCGATTCGATTCTCAGAATTATTCTAGTTTCAGTTGCGCCGAGCGTTACGTAAGCTTAATTCAACCTGCTACATCTATTCTTTTATAAGATTTTGATCACGTAACGAATATCGCAATTTTTACTCACCACAAACTTTCAAAATCGTAGCTTTACAGATGGCCACTCGACCCTTGTTTGTACCAGTCAATATGTCAACTGTTGTCCCTTCTTCTAACTCCACGGCGCCAACGACTTTCTTTTCTTTTACAACACTCACACTATTCTCGTTTTCCCATTGAACCACAATAAAAGCTATCTTTAGAAATGTTATATTAAGCCAAACAGTTGAGAAAAGCAATCAACCGATCCAAAGTACATTCAAAGATGAGCGCCAAATGGAGTCTTCTTTGTTTCCGATCACGGGCATGATCACGTGGATCTTTTAGGACTTGTAATTGGCTAACAAAGTGAATCCGCTGGCTTGCCGATTGCAGTGTTAAGAGAAGCGCCTAACTTTATTCTGACTTCTCCGACCGGTTCTCTGCTTCTAGAAAATGGATAGCTTGGTGATACAAATAAAGATGTGAGCTCACTCTATATAGAAATAATCGAAAAGAATCGATCGTATTACAAATGCACGATTTGTGGCCGAAAGTTGTCGAGGAAACAAAGACTCGAAACTCACTTGAGTTGTGTTAATGGCCAAGGTGAGAAATAACACAAGCCAATCACAGTTTTGAATGCGACTACAAATCGTCTTTTACCCTCATACTTATAAAAGAAGGATACCACATTCGGAAGTATAAGAGATACATAGATGATCCCAGTGTACCAGTACCTAAATCTACAAAGCTTGACCGTAGCAAGCGTTCAGCAACACGTTCCAACACCGCCATCTCGATTCCTCAGTCAGTCGTTTCCAATGAACTTAAAGCAGTATTGACAACAGAGTAGAGTGCGTCTTACAAAGGAGAAACATTTGTACAAGAGACAGGAGTAGCTATATGCGATTACAGAGGTGCGTTGGAACTCTGGTCCACAAATAGTTATGCACTGCCCGAAGTATAAAACAATCTTGTTGATAGCTGACAGACAGAGAAGAACAACAAGTAAACTTAAGAGCTGTTATTATTGAAGTGTGACTATCACTTTTCATTTTTATATAAAGAAGGACTTGTAATTTGCACCAAAAATAAAAAGATATAATATTTTTTTGGGAGATCCAGTGATTGGGACATTTAAGAAATTAAGTTATGAAAAGAAACTTGGTTGGTACTTCTCACTACTAACAAGTCTTGTTGACAAATATTTTCAGATCAGAGTTTCAAATAAAGTAAATTGAAGACGTCATATAAAAGGTGTTTTTCCTCTAAGGGAACATTGACTACCTCTGTCTTGTCTGCATGCCAAATGTTTGCAAAGTGTGTGGATGATCCACAAGTATTGGAACATATACAAAACATTTTTGTAAGAGTTCCAATACTTGTGGATCATCCACACACTTTGCAAACATTTGGCATGCAGACAAGACAGAGGTAGTCAATGTTCCCCTTTTCTTACAAAAATGTTTTGTAAGAATAAAAACAGCAAAACAAATTACAGCAATTAGTCATGAAAATAGAGCAAAAAACTGAAAAAAAAAAAGCAGCAACAACAATCATGAAAAAAGAAAGATTAATTAGGTGTTGAATTTGTTTGTCTAAGGCATGAAATTTCTACTAAAAGTATTGTCAACAAAAAGTCTCTGACAGCGTTTGAGGCAACTGAGCTTGACTGTTCCAAGGTTTTCTAACAAAGGCAACCAGTAATGTAGGTTAGGGAAGTAAGATAACAATGTAATTATTGTTAATTATTGTGGAAGTTGGCAATTTCCATTTAACATAACTGACAGCTGGTTCATGAGAAAATCCATATTAATGTAAAGATTTACTAAAACTTAGTTTGAGTAATAGATTTCATGATCTTTAAGTTATAAACATGTACATGTATGTATATCTCTTGGTAAGTTTTGTATAGCATACCTTTTATTGAGCCAAAGTTTTAAGCCTCTGAAATTACTCTTTTTCTTAAAACCTTCACATTCAAGGTATTGAGAATTTCTTAGAATTTATGTGGACCTCAGGGTATTAAAATTGCCTCAAATTCAATTCCCAGAAATTCCCAAGAGTTCCACACTTCTTAAATTATAGGTAGTTTGTAAAGCTGAGAATTCCTAGGAATTCCTAGGGATTCCAAGTCCTCACAAAACTGGAGTCTTCCTTTCCCAGAAATTCCCAGTAATTCCAAGCTTTTTAAATCAGAGTTAATTTGCATAGTTGGGAATTTTTGAGAATTCCTAGGAATTCCTAGGAATTCCTAGGAATTCCCAGAAATTCCCAGAAAACTGGGAATTCGGTTTGCAAGGGTCATTTGCATAATTGGGAATTTTTGAGAATTCCTAGGAATTCCTAGGAATTCCCAGAAAACTGGGAATTCAGTTCGCAAGGGTTGAAATCCAACATTGTCGATCTAATTTGCAATCCTCAGTTTAATGTCAGCTCAACCGATTGTTTGAGAATGTATTGAGAACTGTTAAAATCAGAAACGAAGCTGACGAAGAAGACATGCTGGACTATACTGTTAATACGAGTAAGTCGTCACTTTCACTTGCCTAGATGAAGAATGAGTTTAGACGCCTAGCCAGAATACAATGGCTACCAGTTGCGAAGCGAGTGTTTCCCTGCTCGATATTCTTGAGATTTTACAAAGGTTTTTGCTTAATTTTAAGCTCATAGCGTACGTAGATGTGCGGACAGCTTTGGATAAGTTATTTGTGATTTTATCGATGAGGGTACAATTAGCACCTTCTTGAAGGAATCGATAGAGTGTTGGTAAGATTTGTTCAGACAATATGGCGGGCGAATAAACATTAATTTCGTTCCCAGGCCCTCTTCTGTATTCTTTTAAAAAACGGCGAGACGCTGTTCAGGAGACTTTTGCATGTGAGATTTACATCCTCCGTGCAAATAAATATAAAAACTTACTAGTTACCGCGGGATGAGACTCCAAGGAGTAAATAAATGCTTTAAATTTGTCTTCAACCGCGTTAACAACTCTGTCTTGGACGTTGCCAATTTGGAAAACACTTTGGTAACCTGCTCGCCCATGAAAAAACATTGCGGTAGTAGTTGAGTCGAAAATAGCTTTTTTGTTTCTTGTATTCCTTGAAACGAGTCTCCAAGAGATGCAAGGAGTGAGGTTTTACCTCTCTGCATATCAGTTCATCCTTTACACCTTAAAATCAGCTTGTATATTCTCCATTCTGTTCTTTATACATTTGCTCTGGCACTGACAAAGGGAAATTTAGTTAACAATCAAGGACTTATTGAGTTTGCGATTATTCTTTTAATTCATGGACCTAATGTTTGATTCAGCAGTGACACCTTAGTGAGACATTAGATGGTGCTGTTCTACATCCTCAGTGGTTAAATAGTTAATTTACCAGTTATCAGATGGCCCTGCTGATCAAAAATCCAAGCCAGATACATGAAAAGTCTGCAATGAGAAGTATTTCATAGATCAATGTTCACTACTTATCTCCTTGATTATTATTGAGTGAATAATCAATTTATTAAACATTCCAGCTCATGCCGCATCTGTTCTAGTTGGTGGAATAAACATTGGAGAAAGGTTAATTGGAGGTAAGAGTGTCTTAATTTGTGCGCCTGAGTGACAAAGCCAAATTGTATGGAGTCTGAAACCTGAAACAGAACAACCCGCTACACAATGCGTCTAAGAGGCTCACGCTGCTAGAGTCCTTGCGTGGCTATCGCATACTTAAGACCACCATTGTCACCCTTACCAAAAATTTAAATGCAAGGATAGGAAACAACAAATAAGTTTTCTTTTACATTTTTTTTTCTGTGATCTAAAAGAATATTTTTATGTTTATAGTCCCTCGACGTCTCTCTATTCATAAGCATCCTTGTCGTCTCTCTCAGTAATGTATAACTTTGGAAAATAACAATCCACTCAAATCTAGTCTTTTCAAGGCTATCAGTGACTGGAGATAAGCAGAGGAGCGGGAAAGCAATGAGTCTAGGAATGAATGCTCTCCTAAGCCAAATCTCCCCCAACGTTTGTTTCTTTGCCTAGCCCCGCTTTTTCGGTCGACTCCATAAGCGCCTGGTGTAACCCCTATGATTTTTACACTTTTTACAGTTTTGACACCTCACTGTACTTTCCGCAATGTTACTGGTGGTGCTGTGGTCGTCACTACATGGATGGTCCTTCGCAGGAGTCCCAGTATGGAAGCATTTGTCAATGCTTTCAAAGAAGCTGTTCTCCCATTTGGAAATTGTTTGCGTGCAATTAGTGATGGATCGATCCGATTTGCGCTTCAAGCAGAAAATAGTTCCGCTCTTCACGCACTATGGGAAAGTTATAAAAACGAAACACTACAGACAAATTTACAAGAGTTTCTTGTTACTGAGGAAATAAAGCAGCTGGCAGGTGGTGAAGTGACATTGACTGTGCACATCGACGAAGATGAATACAGAAATGCTATCTTGGATTTCATGATATCAGGAAAAGAAGGTAATTACTCCTTTAATAGTTCCGCCATTATTTATGACTCCTTGTGCGAGATGAATTAGAAAGATCTCTCGTTGTATCCAATAATGGGACAAATTACGGCTCCTAGAAGATGTGATTTGAAAATTGAAATTCTTGCGTTATGATCCATCCAATATTCTTCCTCGTATGCAATTTATTAAAACACGTCACGAGACTGAAAATGCACCAGCTCATACATAACCCTTCAGTTCTATTCTTCAGCTGATGTTTCTTGATTTAATTCTACCTTTCAATTCGATTGAAATTGCACTTAATTTTGGCGCGAATGAAGAGGCAAATTTGCGTGTTGACAAAGGACAAATATACGGTTAAACTCTAGCCAAGTGGGGTTGGGGGAGGTTACCAGGTAAGTTTTCAGCAAGATGGTGTATTCATTTACTTTTTCGTCTCCTCCGAGGCATCATGCACTACGCGTTATCGTTATTGTTTACGGGTTGTTTTTATTTACATGAACTAGAATTCCTTTGCTCTTTCCGGAGGAGGATTGATCTCAATACTTCTAAATTATTTGATAAGCGCTCCTTGTTCGCAAACGTATTTCTTTATCGCTAACATAAATTGTTTTAAGTCCAGATATTTGGGTTTGCGAAAAGATCCATGGTGCAGAAATTGAAATTGTACACTTGGTATATTTCGTCTTTTTCAGCCTGATCTGTCGCGTGGGTTTAAAAAATACCTGTGAATCGCAACATCACTTTTTGTGTTTGTTTGGTCGACCGACAGATTGATCTGGGAAAGAGTAGTTACTCATAATCGATCAAAATGTCCAACGGGTTGTTCTTTCTCTTCACGTAGCAACAGGTTCTCGAATTGATTATCCGAGTGACATCCGCAATTCCTCCGCGAAAAGAGCACTGTGATAAAAAATCGTTGACTTCAAACGAGTCGATATTTCTGTTTCTAAAACTCATTCTAAAAGTAACTTTGAGTTGTGCTCAAAAATGCAATTTTCAGACAACTTAAGATCAAATGTGGCCAAAATCGAACTTTTTCAAAATATAAAGGCAACAGCCAAAAAATCAATTCGGCTCATATGCTCAAGTTAGGTAGGCCTTAGAGAGAAACAAACTTCCTTTGGCTGAATATCTCTTTGTTTTCGGGAAAATCGATAATAACTGAGTTCCGCAAAAATGCCGCTTTTGAAGCTCAAAATTTCAGGCGAATCTCGGAGCGTCGCGGGAAGAAGAGGTATAAATATAAATCTGTGGGACATCGGCTAGTTAAAAAATTTCAGTGAAAGTTGTGGTTTTGACCTTTATACAGCTTTTTTATACACTTTGCTCTATTACACATCTGCAGTAATGGACTATAATTAAAAAAATACCAAGATTCATTTAATCATGAGACGTTTAATTATGATCGGGGTTAGATGATTGTTTGCTCCTGTTTCGCATATTTAAAACTTGACCTAAGTTCCCGCAGCCACATGTTTTACAGTCCAATGTACTATTTTTTGAAGAGTTGTCGATTTCAGTAGACCTCATTTTATCCAACTTAAAAATTTGAGTAAATCGCGCTGAATCATTTCCCAAAAAAATCCTTTAAAGATCGAGAAGAACTACACTTTGCCTTCCAAAAGCCAGATTTTCAGCTAATTATTTTGTGTGGCACATAGCTACATAACAGGTTACTTTTAACCTATTTTTTATGTAGTCAGAAGTTGGTTGGATAAATTCAATTCCCTTGTGTAAATAAATCGTCAAGGATTGCTCAAATTGCCGACAAAATATATTTTGATGCTGTTTTTTAAGATTTGGTACTTTTTATCGGTCCAGATAGCTTTTCAATTTGTGACGCAACGCTCCGAGATTCGCCTGAAATTTTGAGCTTCAAAAGCGGCATTTTGGTGGAATTCAGTTATTATCAATTTTCTCGAAAATAAATGATATTCAGCCAAAAGAAGTATGCTGTGACTTATTTCCCATTGAGACTTTGAAATATGGGCGACATTAACTTTTCAGCTGTTGCCACCAAATGTTTGACCATCGGTGACATTCGTTCTAAAGTTTCACTTACCTTTTGGGTTATTTGTCACTCGGATATATATGATTTATTTCCGAGAGCTTGATGATCATCCAATAATGTGGAACCCGCCGCTTCATTCAACATTATATTGCTTTTTTTGACTATAAATTTTAGAGATGAAACTTGAAGAGGAAAGAGGTTTAAAAGAACGGGCAAGTTCTGATTCAGACCTTCTGAAAGAACGAAACATCACCACAGCCAATACAAGAGATCCTTTTCCAGAGAGGGAGTTTTTACCATTTGACAGAAAACTGCGTGTAGAAGAATATTTGGAAAATCTTCAAGAGACCTTCAGCGAAATCACACTACCGAGTGATAGCGGAGCGGGGACTTTGAGTAGTGCCACTTCTGAATATGGATTTGACAAAGGTGAAAGTGATTGTTAGTCTCCACTGAATGATAATTCTTTACAGAATAGGTATGAGTTGCCGAGAAATATAGCTTGATTCTCGCGGAGTTCTTATCATTGAATGTCTTTCCCTCTCGGCTACGCGAGTCAATTGTAATGTAACCATAAATGTTGATGTCAGAAACCTTACTTTCGTGTTAATAGTCTTTTCGGTTACTTGGGAAAACGCCAGAATCGTTACAGAACTGGCCTTTTTACTTTGATGATAGTTGGGTGTAAAGACTGTCTCGAAAAAATGTAGCTCAGGTATGAAAGTACATCCTCCAACACTCACTCGAACACGAAGGACAAAAGACGCATGTGGCGCATGAGGAATCGAGTCTCAGATATTTGAATTCCGGGGCTCAGATCCACCACTGAGACTCTGTGTTGAGTTTGGCCATGAAGTGGTTGGAAACTTAGATTTCTTATATTTCTTTATCAATTTCTTTGCCGAGTTCAAAACTTATCATCTTCTTATTCTGTTCATAAATCCTCAGGAGACAGACTTGAAAAGCTCGACCAGGTTGAAGGGTTAATCAAAGATGTCATTGAGAATTGGGACAGCATTCAGGAAGCATGCAGAGATGCATACCCGTTCGAAGGTTATATGATCAATTGATTATTTTCAACCAATTAATCATACTTTTAATTAGTTGATAAGATGATCGACTTTTAAAGCTGTTACTATCACGGACAATACAAATTTTCATTTGAAAAAAATACACACGAACAAAGGGCTATCTAGATGGGGGTTTAATACTGGTTTAATATTCTTGTGCAATGGAAATTTAGCGCCTCTTCTTTCTGTTGGATTTCGCCTGGTGGTCATGTGTGGCTGTGGGTTAAAGTTAGTTCATAAAAACTGCGAGGCTTGTACAGGTTCTAATCGATAATGGTAGTGAGTTCCAAAAGACAGGAGCAGTATGAGTGAGGCACGATCCCCAAGCGTAAAGAAGTTGACTCTTGGAACGAACAAAAGACGAATAGAAGAGCATAATTAGAAGCTGATGACAGTAAATCTTTAATATAGGGTGGACTACGACTGTTTCACGAATTGGAGACCATTCTGTTTGATATGAATTTTAGACTCAGAAATATTACATCCTCAATTTTTTCCAGGACGTAAATATCGTAGCATATGGAAAGAATTGGAAAAGATCAGAATGACTCTGGGAACCGCGAAAGAGATGGAAAAAGAGTGGATGATTGCAGGTCAGTCTCATAAAAATCAAATGGTTGACTCTACAACAGTCACCATTAGTTAATTTAGGGAGGGTACCTTATTATGACAGAGTGGCTATGGGCTATACTATGTACTTATCGATTCATTGGGCGGAACTGACCGAGAGCCAAATATTTACCCTTTCAGCTTGATCAAACTTAAACAGTAAGCATTTTATCATGTAACCACCAAGTGTTGAAAATTTCAAAACTTTCGTTTCAACTTAAAAAGGACGTACTTGGGTTCAAAAGAAGGGCGAACTGGACGACTGATATCAAGATTTGACTTTAAATACTTTTTTCCGATAAGTCAGAGCAAGAAACTCATAATTCACTGAGAAGCGCAACTCATTTCCTCATTTGTTTTACTTCAATTTGAAGTTCACAATTTTAAACCGCGTTGTTGGGAAATACAAAATAGCCGTGTGAGTAACGGACCGGGCGGTTTTTTCGGACCGGCTTTCATTATGGTTTTCTTTGGGATTGCGCGCGTGAGGCCGTCATGTGATAATTCTACGTGTTACGTAACTGACAGTACCCGTGGGCAAGACGAAGCGATTCCTGGCTGGCCGAGTGGACATAACAGGTCCATTTTACCCGGTTGGGATTTCCCACTTTAACCCCGCCCAAGTAAAAAAAATTGGGAGCTTGTGCAGCTTTCTAATTAATTTTAATCAACGTTTTTTACGTTTACCCATCAACAGTGTAAACCTATTAAATCAGCTGTTTTTTTTCCAATTTTTCAATTAATATCCAGCGCTCAAAAAAAAAAACGATTTATTCTTGATTCTCTTGAAGTCGGCGAGATCTTTTTGCTATACAATAAATAAATCCTTTATTGGCCAAACAGTCAAAGCGCCCTCATTTGGAATTTGTTTTTTAATCAGTATTGGCGTAATCATTAGCATGTGTATTCTTACTCAGTGGCCTCCACATTCCATATACGTTATATTGTTCAGCTGAAAGGTCAAGTTAAAGGTCAAGATAAGTGGATATAAGTCTCGTTCATCGGCCGCGGTCCATAAAACGCACAAAAAACAAAAAAAAAAGAAAGGAAAATCGGCCAATATCCAGCCATCTTTACCTTAAAGTGGTCAATAACGCGTATGGAATATAAATGAGAATGAGTTAGAATAAACCTGCTAAAAATCATGGCATTACTAAAGCTCTTGCAAATTAGGACACTCTTTATGAACGATATTTTACAGTACGTATCGCTGTATATTTATTTGCCTTTGGATCTGAACAAACACAGGCATGGCGCAGAATGGCCGGACATGTTTAATATTCATACTTCATTAGCAGTGCATTGGCATAACAGCGACGCGATGGAGCGCAAAATTTGAAAGCCGGTAATCAACATTTTAAAGGTAATGGCGCCAGAAAAAAACGAACACCTAACTTTAATTTTCATTCTAAATGGGTCTCAGTTGGAAAATTCAACACTTGTAGGCTGCAAAATCAAGATGGAAGTACACTTATTTAATCGAGACGCTCACGAGAAGGACACGACTTCTAAAAACTATTGAAAATTTGTGTTAAAATGTGAATGATTTTGTAACCATTCTACCTTAGATAACAATTCAAAACTGTTTAATTTCTATTTTAAATTTCTAGTTTCTGATCCAACTTTTTATGAACTTGTAACTTTCAAAAGTTTCTTTATAAAGGAAATACAGATACTAAGCTTAAATATCAAGAATAGCGGAAAAGGATTTACTTGGAATTTGCGCTCGCTGTATTTCGTATCACATAATGAGCAGAAAATGAGCCATTTTGCTCATTAATATACATGTATTCAGCTTCTCTAAGTTCCTGAATCTTGTTTTAGCGCCGCCTTCGCCGCTCCCTTGGGTGTTCACTAATGGCTAAAATGTACTTTTCAGTCTGCCGGATTTCGTTGTGTTCTCTGACGAACATTTACGATTGCAGCCGACTGTCAGAGTTGTAAGCTATCACCAGAGAGAGGAAATATGTTCGGGGCTCGGAGTGGTGATTCAATGTGCAGATAGATATTTGACGTTGTAACCAGCTTGCTCATGTTCTGAGTAATCTTTCAAATCCTGCACAGTGGAAAGAGAAAGATGAGTGCTGGAGAATTTCACTCATGAGTCAGCTGCCAAAGCCTTTTGGAATAACTAAAATAATGATAAATTTTTGAGCATCGGTGAACGCGTTTATCGTTGTTGGGTTTTAAACATCGATTTGAATGAAACATTTCAGTGCTCATCATTCGAAGAGAAAATGAACGTAAATCAGCGTGTTAGGCCGCTGAGAGCACGAACAGAACAGAAAAAAATTTTGCTCGCGCCTTGTGGCAAATAATGTAAAAGAATTCACATCAACATTTCACGCTTAAGGACTAATTGATATTTTTGTGGCTGTGTAAAAAGTCAAGCGCCGCTGCGAAAATTTGAGGTGCGGCCAAAACTATTTCAGCCACCAAATTTGTCTAGCACAGGATAAAAGGAAACAATGATAGAATGATAGAATGATAGAATAATATTTTTAAATGACAGTATTTTTGTCAAAAAACGAAAAAAACAAAACAACAACTACAATATTTACCAGTCAACTTTGAATATGAAGGTTTTTTTTATCTCCATTTCGGCCAGTCAGTCTGAATTAGCCAGCGGATGAACATGATTACAACCAAATTCTTATTTCGTATTTGGTATGGCTCAGACTTGCACTTTTTCAGAACTTCAAAGCTTACTGTACCGGCATAGCAGAATTAAGAATTTGTTCATGCTTAGCGTGCGTATATCGAGTTATAGATGCACGCGGAAAGTTTGGAGAGCACAAAAAATAAGTAAGAGTAACTCGAGGCGCAGCCGAGAGCAACCCTAGCTTATTGAGTGCTCTCCAAACTTCCCAAGTGCATCCATAACTCGATATACGCACAGCTAAAAGCATGAGCAAATTCTTTTATAACAGAGCGACAATGAACAAAAAATGCTCACGTCATCTTTTTTACGCACGGGCGTGCGTAAATAAAGATTTTGTTCATAGCGGCTCAAAAGGACTTATATAGGGCGAGCACGCGCGCTAAGTTATAACAGCCCCTTTTAAATTTCATTCATCCCTCTTCTGGCAGTTGATTCATTTAAACTTGCATTAGGCCTCTTAGAATCAGTCGGCCTTTTATTGGAATTATTAAAACACTTCAAACAGCAAACCCTAATTTGAGCAATTCATAAACAACCATCATATTTCTCTCAGATAGTTTGTTTTCAGTATCGTGGTTAATTATTCTGTATTCGTAAATACTTTTTTTCTTTTTTGTTACATTGTAGAACCTATTTTGACATCATCAAGCAGTCCTGAAGCTGTTATACAACAATTGAAAAACTCTCTAAAGCTAGATCAAGGCTTTTTCAAATATCCAACCAGAGAGGACAAAAGAACTATCCGTGTCTTGGCAAGAAAAGCCAAAAATTTAAAACGATTCGACGTGTTTAGTTACTTAAAAGAGATCACACCACCAGGA